TAGTGTGTCAAAGGTCATTATTATTGTTAGTTGGTAGCAATGGGCTTGCTATATTAATGGCAGCTTGCAATACGTGACAACTTTACGTATGTTCTCAACATCAAGCACATGGCAACTTGTCACCATCTCAAGCTGTCAAGGACTTTTGCATTAAGTCTCGCACGAACAGAGGTCAGTAGCCAAAGGAGAATCGTGTCTTTCTACGTGATTAAGTCATACCCTTCTTTGTCAATGTTAACACTAAACTTTGTTCTTCAGAGCTGAACTGCCATTCTGACACAAGTAAAGAATCTATGACTCACTCAAAATTCACCTTTTCAGAATGAAGAGTAAAAACTGGTGTATGTACTCCCAGAACACCTTAATGTGTTTTGGAATGCACTGTGAATATATCTTGTTGTAGTGCGTCTCATCACCATTAATACCTCGCCCCTTCAGATAAATGGTTCACCATGCATTTATGCGCTGCAGCGCGCTGCTGGCATCGGATCAACAAGACTGTGCGCTGAGGGCGCCAGGTCCGGTCATTCAACTGGATTTCCATGTACACGACAGTACATGTAGAGTGCTGCTCAATGAACTTGAACTTCGATCTCGCCAGTCAAGGATGTGCTGGACGCTGTACAGCTCTAGACATCCAAACACTGGGATATTCACTAGCTGAGGGCGCAAAGCCGACTCTATCGATCGGAGTTTTTACCAACAAGCAATGCACATATGCACATGCATGCATACGATTGTATCTTCACCCGTTTAATCGTTGTGATGCAAAAAGAAAAGAAAACAGAAAACAAGTCTCTGCCGCACAAAGTCACGCCTATGCGCTTCCCATGCCGAAAAAACTTCCACTTACCTTGCCATGGTGCGTTGCACGGCAAACATCAGGTCGCACGGGGCCCAGTGATGAGAATTACCAACTGTTGCTGCATTATATTGAAGCAGGGATTACTGAAATACCAAACTTATTACTGCTCCCTGGTTGGAGGTTTGCCATTCACTGATTGGTCTTCAGCTTCACATGTGGTGCTAATTATGCTTCCCCCCTTGTATCGCGGATCAAATAATAATGTGCATGAACGGACCAACATACATTTATATTGTACTTTTGTGTGGGAAAGGGGAAAGAAGAAAAGAGGACCAAAGAGCTACACGTTACGCTGTAATGTCCACTAACACCACCAGTTGCTTCACAATCAGTTCATGCGATAACATTGAACGACACTGATCAACGGTACTGACGTTCTACACCTAACTGGTAATCAGATCTCGACATCTGGGAGGCGCACTCCAGCAGCTTTGCAGCTTGGAAGGTTCTGGGGTATAGAAATAAGGAGAGATAGGTGGGAGCAATCAAGATCAGCACGATATGAAAGTCTCAGCTGTGGAGGATGTTGGTGGATATACATGTAGGTCGAGGACGATACTGGCAAAATCGTCAGACAAAACGGCCAAACCACACTTCAAGGGCGCATAGCAACACACCACACAACGTGTGTGTCTCTAAAGATTCGAAGATTGATTGGAGGGGAAGCTATGCAAACAGGAATTATGAGTAACCAAACGCCTCAGTACCACAGTTCAGTATATCGACCAAGACCATTGAGATGTAGAAATAGGCAGCAGGAACAAGCAGCAGCTTCACACGCCGATCTTTGGTCCTCTCTTGTTTTTATAAATTGATACTTTGCTCTCCACAGCAGTGTAATAAGTCATAACTTGTAACATTTCCTTACTTTTCATTAACTTTTATTTGAGTAACGAATGAAGCTCTAGCACATTGTCACAATGTGGCTATCTGGTCCTGACGTCTAATGGCATGCCACGCAAAGCACCTTTTCAGTTTTGTCATCAAGGACCTCTATTCCTATACTTCTTGTTTGGGCTGTGAAAATGAGCCTCTTACGTTATGCAACTGTTTCAACACCACTCTCTCTCTCTCTCTCTCTCTTCCAAGTCAGCTTGTCGACACGCGGGTAAAGAGAAGAAAGTGACTACATGTAATGCACCAGTAGAAACATTGATATGGGCTGCAGCTTAGAGGACATTCTTCACTTGCAAGAGTGCCAGGCTAGCTGACGATCATTACCTTCTCTCGAGGTACTAATAGCCAGGCTATTGCCTTCGCAATGTTCTGCCTCCATCATTAGCGAATGACTTTATCGATTGTCCGTGGTGGAAAAAACATTCTTCACCTGCAAGAGGGCCAGGCTAGATGACGATCATTACCTTCTCTCGATGTACTAGTAGTCAGTCTATTGACTTCAGAATTTCCTGCCTCAACCATTAGGGAATGGCTTTAAAGGCTGTCCGTAGTGGAAAGAATTTAAGATTTCTCAAGAGATCTGTTCTTCTGCAGGTTTCAGTAGATGTTTCGGGAAAATTAAAAACAATTGTCAACACTGGATCGGTTGGGAAAGGATACCAGTCTTCGCGACCACAGGGTTGGTAGATTTATTTATTTCACAGAAGATCATTGTATAGAATACAAATCCAAAACAAAATAACGCACATAAGATTACGGTTCTTGACTATCATAGCGTATCACATTTGTGGCTATGATCAGCCTTGGTTGATCAGTATCAAAGACTGGACTGTTTTCAAACTGCTGCAAATTTTGTCTCTCTTTCTAAGAAACGTAAACACAAACTCCCTCTCTCACACACACCCATACTCTCTCATGCACTCTATCTCTCTCTCTCTCTCTCTCTCTCTCTCTCTATCTCTCTCTATCTCTCACTCACCTTTCCGTAGAACTCATTAGACCCAAAAGAAGAAATGCATTTGTACACACAGTAAAAACTTTTAAACGACATTTTATGCATTTCATTTTACGTTGTGAATACGCTAGAGTTTATGAAAACCTTTGCGCACTCTTCGCACCTTTACGGACGTTTTCCTGTGTGTATACGTTCATGGGAAAATTACGTATCGAAAATATCACCAACACCGGTACTCGGGCAGGCCTGAAGAAGGAACGCAACCGCATTCTTCACAGCATCAGAAGAACAGCGCTGAAGGAAGCAGAATTACGGCTGGACGAAAAGGCAAAGGAGGTGGAGAAGTTGCGGGACGGTGCTCGAATGTTCAAAGCTGTTCAGTTAATGCGGAGACGTGGAGCTGTGAAGCCTACAGTTGCTGACAACACCGGAAAAATCATAGTAAACGAGGAGGAAGCAGCTGAGGCAATTGGAAGCCATTTCTCAAGTCAGTTCAGCTCACCAAGCGCCACAGACATCTCACCGTTCCAGGGACAGCCACGTCCTCTGCAAACTCCCATTACATCTTCAGAGATTGCAGGCTGTCTCGGGAAACTGAACAATGGCCGTGCCGCAGGAGACGACAGTATCCCCACAGAACTGATGAAGTATGCAAGTGATGCTTTGGCTCCTGTGTTGACCAGCATTTTCAACGGCATGTTTGAGCAACACGAGGTGGTTGATATAGGCAGTGGCAGTCTGATCCCACTTCAGAAACCCAACAAGCCGCTGGGACCACCATCAAATTTACGTCCGATAGTTCTTCTCAACACGCTGCGGAAGACCCTGTCACTCCTCACTTTAGCTCGAGTCAGACCCAAGGTTGACCAGTACCTAGCCCAGACGCACAGCGGCTTCCGCCCTGGCCGATCCACCGCGGATGTGGTATGGGCGCATCGATGGCTTGTGGCAAAGACCCAGCGCTACCACAGCACCGTTCACCTGTTGGGCATTGATCTGTCGAAGGCTTTTGACACGATCAAGCGAGACACCTTGCTGACTGTTCTGGAGGCGTTTCTGAGTGACGATGACGTTCGCTTGATCAGGGTCTTGATCTCTAACACCAGACTTCGTGTTCAGCTTGGGAGGTGCCAGTCGGAATCATTTGCTACAACGAAGGGGACGCCACAGGGGGATTGCCTTTCCCCCGTTCTCTTCACGGTTTACCTGGAGGCTGCGCTCCGACAACTAAGGCAAGAGGTGCCAGCAAGACCTCTCAGCGACAACGGTCTGCCGCTCGAACTTGTATATGCGGATGATGCAGACTTTGTCAGCACCTCAAAGTCCTGGCTGGCGGACGTGGAGGCGACTGCCAGCACGGTGCTACCACAGTGGTCCCTGATCATGAACCGGGACAAAACTGAGTATACGGACATCTTCAGAAGTGCGGACAGGATCGATGAAGAGTGGAGGACAACGCGCAAGCTGGGTTCGCTGCTGGGCGACGAAGAGGATATTATGCGACGAAAACAGCTGGCGACTGCAGCATTTCAGTCCCTATGGAGCCTCTGGAAGAGGCATCAGCACATCAGCGAGAAGTTGCGTCTGCGGCTGTACAGCACTTTTATTGTTCCAGTACTGACGTACAACTCGGGTACGTGGGGGGTCAGTGTGACCGTTCTGTCCCGCCTGGATTCCTTCCACCGCCGTCAGCTAAGGTCACTCATCGGTGTGAAATGGCCACAAATAATACCGAATGATGCTCTCTATGCCAGATGCGAAGCTGAACCCTTGAGTGTCATGGTCAAGAGATCACGCTGGAGGCTGTTTGGCCACATCCTGCGGATGGCAGATGAATCTCCAGCTGTTATGGCTATGTTCGCGTACTTCGCCAATCAGCAACAGAAATGCTGGAGGGGTAGACCGCGGACGACCCTGCCGCAGGCATTGGTGGGAGATCTGCGCCAAGCCAATGCCGGATTGCTCGGGAACTTAGACGCTCTGCAGAGCCTGCGAGCCATTGCCCATGACCGACCCGCATGGCGAGATCTATGCATGAAGATCTGTGCATCGTGATATTCCGACAGGTCCTGAAACAGTCAAACTCAGGAAATAGCACTATTATTATCACTCAGGCTGCAATATTCAATGACATAATTAAAGACATATTCATAAATGACATATCTTCAATACCCATGAGCTACATTGTATATGATAATTATATCATTGTATCATCGTTCTAGCTCAATTTCTTTCCCCTGTCATAGTCCTGTTTATCATGTTCAGCATAAGCGAAGTTGTGGATCATGCTTGCATGGTTGACTCCAACGCGTACATGCAAGTAATAATAATAATAATAATACGTTCATGATGACGTAGATGGTGTAACCGGTTGAATGACCTTCCACATGTCTTGCACGTAAAAGGTCTTTCTCCTGAATGGATACGTCCATGTCTTCGTAAACCGGATGATTCTGTGAATGACGCGCCACATGTCTTACACTTGTGCGGTCTCTCTCCGGTATGAGCACGTTTATGAACACATAGAGTGCATGAGTGAGAGAAAGACATCCCGCATACATCACACTTGAATGGTCGATCTCCAGTATGCGTACGTTTATGAGTACATAGATTGCTTGACTGAGTGAAAGACATCCCGCATACATCACACTTGAAAGGTCGATCTCCAGTGTGAATACGTTCATGGTCGCGGAGGTGAGAAACGTTCTTAAACTCCTTCTTGCAAAACTGGCACCTTTGTGATGTCTTACATTTAGACCGCTTGTACGGATTCTGACTCTGAGCCATAACCTTAGCAGAATCAGATATTTGTTGGACAGGACGTCTGTGTTCAACCGGCTTGGCACACGAATCAGGTTGTTCCCATGCTTCACGTGTTCTTCCAGCAGAAACTCCAGTATTTGACTCTGTGTCTGGAGTTAAGACGTCCATTTTAAACTGAGAAGATGGTTTCATAGGCGAAATACGTTTATCATACGCGCTGAACGCAGAAGTCCGGTTCTCGACGTCTTCCAGTTCTGACGGTGCACTAGACGTAGCTTCATCCCTTTCGCTTTTGCGGTCAGTTCCATGTGTCGTATTGAAAGCTGGTTGACGATTAGAAATACGCGCCGAAAGAATTGTGTTCCACGCCCGTTTTATCAATGGCGGAGGAGAAACAGGAAATATGCTACTGGTATCCTCAGGGGGTGTATTACTCGTGTCTTCTCTGTTTTCCAGTGAAGCGGATCTCATACACGACGCTTTCGCCGTGTTTTCTTCGCCAATGTTTGACTCAGAAAATGGTGGAACCGACGATTGGCCATGCTGTCTAGAAAGTTGGAGTAGCACATTCCCCTTTAACTTCATCAATGGCGGCATTGGTGGTAGTTCATTAGAATCAACACTGCAGTCAGACTTCAACTCCTCAAAGTCTTCCATTGTTTCATAGACCGAACGGCAACAACTCTGGAAGGGAAATTGAATAACCGAGCCAATATTACTCGTAGCAACTTCACTCAGTGAATTTAAATTACGGATCCAGAATGGTTCGCTCTGTGGGCCGAGCCAATATTACTCTCAGCCACTTCACGCCGTGATTTTAAATTATGGATGCAAAATGGTTCGGTCTGTGTACTTTAATATCGTGTCCTAGTGTGAAAAGCCAAATTAGCTGATAAAAAAAGGGTTTGCCATAATTCTGACTGCCAGCAATGCGTGACAATTTTACGTATTTTCTCCACTTCAAGTACATGGAAACTTGCTGTCACAATCTCAAGCTTCCATGGACGTTTACATCAATTGTCGCACAAAAGGATTTTAGTTGCCTGGGGAGCATCTTTTCGTTTTAAGTGAGAAATGATCACTCTTACTGTTCTTTGTCAGTGTCAACACTACACGTTATTCTTTGGCACTGCACTGCCATTCTTAAATAAGTAAAGGATCTATCACTTCCGAAAATTTTTGCTTTTTCAAGAATGCAAAATGTCTGTTGCTGAGTAGACATCGCGGAGAAGTGAGCGTTCCTGTACTGGTATGAGTTTGGATGTACCGGTACATTGTATTTCAGCATGGTGGAGTGGAAAAATTCCAATTTGTTTTTTTCTTCAAGAAAACGCAAAAAGGGGGATGACGTCCTCTGTGCTAGAAAAAAATCTTCTAATGAATACTTCTTGCTAAATGAGGACGTGGCTGTTTATTTTGTCTCCCCTTGTAATTTGGCTATCTTCAGGACGATCATTTGTTCCATCAGGGGATGATGGCCCTCCTCTCCCTCTGATATGCTGACGTGGCTAAGCGGTGCTGCCCCTGGAACCTTTCTATGATCAGGCAATTATAGCTTGATGGAGCTAAATTCGTAGCCTGGTTTATCCACTTTGGCAAGTCTCGTTTGCACACCCATTAATCATGTGATGTTTTGACCATTTTTGAGGGGTGTGCTAATTTCAAAGTTCCCTTCAAACAACTTTTCAAGGGCTTTGTACAGTCGATCTACACACCAAAGAAACGTGCCTGCAAATTTTGAGCGAAATCGAAGAGATCCACTTCCACATAATTGTCTACAAGTCTTCTCAGACATGCTCATTCAACAAAGCGTTCGCTCATATCTTCTTTTTATATAAAGTAAAACTTCCTGTGTTCAAAGACTATACCAGAAAACTGCTATTAACATCTGACATAATACATGAAAACGAGACCATGGCATAGAACACAAATACCGAACTACATAATGCACATCAGATTGCGATTCTAGACTATCATAGGCTATATCGTGTATGGTTAAATTCAGATTTGTGTGAATAGCATCAAAGAGTGGATTTTTTTAACTGCTTCGAATGTACACTATCGTTCTAACAGACAAACACTTTCTCTCTATCTCTCTCTTGTTCGTACAATTCATTAGCACGAAGAGGAGAAGAACCGTTTTACACATAGTGAAACACTTTCAAGCAACATTTAGGATTTTCAGTTTCGGTTATGAATACGCTCGTGTCTACGAAGACATGATGATGTTCTGAAGACCTTTGAGCACTCTCTGCACCTATATGCACGTTCCCCTGTGTGTATACGTTCATGGTTGCGGAGATGGGATGACTGTGTAAAAGACCTTACACATGTCTTGCAAGTGAAAGGTCTTTCTCCCGAATGGATACGTTCATGCCTGCGTAAAGCGGTTGAATGCGTGAACGATGTGCCACATGTCTTACACTTGTGCGGTCTCTCTCCGGTATGAGTACGTTTATGAACACATAGAGTGCACGAGTGAGAGAAAGACATCCCGCATACATCACACTTGAATGGTCGATCTCCAGTGTGAATACGTTCATGCACGCGGAGGCGAGAAGCGTACTTGAACTCTTTTTGGCAAACCTGACACCTCTGTAATGTCTTACACTTAGAACGCTTGTACGGATCCTGATTCTTAGCCACAACCGTAGAAGAGTAAGAATGTTGTCCGATAGGACGCCTTTGTTCCACTGACATGCCAAACGCATCAGCTTGCTCCCACAGGTCAGGCGTCCGTCCACCAAAAACTCCAGTATTTGACGCTGTGGCTGGAGTTAAGCCATCCATTTCAAACTGAAGAGGTAGCTTCACAGGCGATGCATGTTTCTCATACCCGCTGAACGTTGAAGTCCAGTTCACCACGTCTTCCATTTCAGACTGTGTACTAGACGTTGCTTCATCCCTTTGGCTTTTGTCGGCGGTTTGAAATGCCTTTTCGAAAGCTGGCTGACGATTAGAAATACTGGCTGAAGGAATTGTCCATTTTATCAATGGCGGAGGAGACACAGGAATAGTGCTACTGGTATACTCAGGGGGTATACTGCTTGTGTCGTCTCTGTTTTCCAGTGAAGTACACGACACTTTCTCCATGTTCTCTTCTAAAAGGTTTGACGCTGGAGATGGTGGAATGGACGATGGACCATGCTCTCTGGACGTTCGGTTGAGCTTAGTCCTCTTCGACTTCATCAATGGCGGCATTGGTGGTAGATCATTAGAATCCACACTGCAGTCAGACATCGACTCCTCCAAGCATTCCATTTCTCACTGATCTACAACTCTGGAAGGGAAACTGCATACCCGAGGCAATATTACTCGTCGCCACCTCACGCAGTGAAATGAAAATTACTGATGCAGAATGGTTTGCTCTGTGCAATTTAATATCCTGCTCTAGTGTGAAAAGCAATATTAGTTGATGACAATAACAAATGTGTTTGCCATGATTCTGGCAGTCCGCAATGCGTGACAATTATAAGTATGCTCTCAAAATCAAATACATGGCAATGTCTTGGACATTTACATTAATTGTCGCACAAAAATATGTTAGTTACTATGGGAGAATCTTGTCGTTTTAAGTGATAAATGATCACTCCTACTGTTCTTTGTCAGTGTCAACACCACACGTTGTTCTCCAGTGCTGAACTGCCATTCTGAAACAAGTAAAGTAAAGTAAAGGATGATTGTATCACTTCCCAAAAAATTACATTTCAGAATGCAAAAGGTCTATCGCCGACTAGACGTAGCGGAGGGGTGAGCTTTCCTGCACAGGTGTGAGTTTGGATCTACATTGTATTTCAGGTGGTGGATTGGAAAAAATCATAATGTGTTTTTTAAAAACCGCAAGAGGAAGATGGGGTTCATGTGCTCAGTGCTAGAAGAGGTGTTCTACTATCTTGTTGTTTTGTTGTTTGTTTATTTAAAGTCGAAGACCATACAGGCAAAATTTGCCTAATTCCATGATATCGACTAGAAAGGAAAATAAAGTATAAAAGATTATCTGCCAATGAATAATAATAATAATAATAATAATACAGCACGCATATAGCTCATATGAAAAATCAAATGAGGGTCATGCATCTGTCAACAACGTCGAGCCAGTGCGTTCTGTCTGAGGCAAGTTGCTCCGCTTCCAAAAGAGACATATTGAGAAGTAAAAGGTCATTCCTAATGTTGTCTACCCATCTGGTCACTGGGCGACCTCTGGGCTTCTTTATATCTGTTATATTCATTGCCATGTGAAGGGCTTTGTAGGACACAGCGTCCTTCCCTTCACGTATGACATGTCCAAACCATGTTTACAGACTGCACTTATTGGGCATTGAGCAGTTTTAGCATAAAGAGCATTATTCGAAGTTTTATTGGGAAAGATGATTCCAAGTATGTATCTGAGTTTGAAATGAATAATTCTTGCTAAATGAGGACGTAGCTCTCCATTTACTTTGCCCTTGGAATTTGGCTCTTTTGAAGAGGATCATTTGTGGCCTCATGGTGTGATGGTCCTCCTCTTCTAGGTTGCTTTGGATGGCTAAGCGGAGCTGCACCAGTCATGCCCTTTTCTAAAGTGACAAAATGTTGGCTTGTTGGAGTTTAACTCTTAGCTTGGTCGTATACGCTGTTGCATGTCTCGTTTGCGGACCCATAAATCATGTGATGTTTTGACCAATGTTTAGGGGTATGTCTATTTCACGGTTCCCTTCGGACACCTTTTCAAGGGATTAGAACAGTCGATCTACCCCCCCCTCCCTCCTCCCCAAGGAAACGTACCTGCCAAATTTGAGGGAAATCAGAGAGATCCACTTGCACACATTGTCTGGTCGTCTAAGACATGATCTCTTAAAAGTCAACAATCGCTTCGCATAACTCTACGATCTGAATTAATTAAACTTTCTCCGATCGATGGTTATTCTAGAATAATGCTATTAACTTCTGACATAATACATGAGAACGAGACCATTTAATAGAACCGAAATACGGAACTACATAATCCACATCAGCTAGCGATTCTGGACGACCATAGTCTGTCGCGTGTGTGGTTACGATCAGATTTGTGTGAATAGCGTCAATGACGAGACCTTGGTTCCAACTGCTGTGAATGTATTCTCTCTTTCCAGCCGACACACACACATTCTCTCTCTCTCTCACATACACACACACTCTCTCCCACGCACACACACACACACACTCACACACACACACACACTCTCTCACACACACACTCTCTCTTTCTCTCTCATGCGCTGTCTCTATCTCCACACACACACACACACACACACACACACACACACACACACACACACACACACACACACACACACACACACACACACACACACACACACACACACACACACTCTCTCTCTCTCTCTCTCTCTCTCACACTCACACACTCTCTCTTTCACTCTCATGCCCTCTCGTGCACTCTCTCACTATCTCTTACTCTCGCTCTCTCTTGTTCGTAGAATTCAAGAGCACGAAGAGCACTTTTACACATAGTAAAACACATTCAAACGCCTTTGAGTCTTTTGATTTTCGGTTATGAATACGTTCGTGGTTCCAAAGATTTGATGCTGTTCTGAAGACCTTTCCGCACTCTCTGCACCGACGTTCTCCTGTATGAACACGTTCATGGTCACATAGTTGGGATGACTGTGTGAATGACTTTACACATGTCTTAAATTTGTGCGGTCTCTCTCCGGTATGATGAATACGTTTGTGAACGCATAGACTCCATGACTGAGTGAAAGACGTCCCACATACATCACACTGGAATGGTCGATCTCCA